TGCTACTAGCATCCAGAGTGATATTTTCTTCTTTTTCTTCTTCAGAAAAAAACCACTACAAGTTCTACCTGCCGCCCACGTTCACACTCACACTGCTCCTGCCCTGTGTGATCATCCTGGCCAAGGGCCTCTTCCTCCTTCCCTGCCTCCGCCGCAGACTCACCAAGATCCGCAGAGGCTGGGAGAAGGATGGTGCTGTCAAGTTCATGCTGCCTGCTGACCACGTGCGGGGGGAGAAAACAAGCCATGTGTGAGGCCCTGGAAATGGAGACAGGCACGGCTTGTGGGGGCCCTGAGCTGAGTTCAGGTCTCTTTTCCGGATGCTGCAATTGGAGTGATGATATGTGCATAGGTGGTTGAGATCTGAATTCCTGGGATTCAGGTTATACCACGGTATTCAGAGTGACACACCACACGTGTGTGATATGTATTCACATATAATGCATATATAATAGGATTTGCTATTATTCTTACTTAACTAAGAAGCTGGGTCCCTATATTTCAACTTATGTATTTCAAAGCAAGTGCCACACATTGAGTAGCAGATACCACCCTTGTGACATTGGCAGAGGCAGACGCACACTTGGTATAGGAGAGATTTGTATTTTGTTGGGTTCTGGCCTTTAGGCTTTGTCCTCTGTATTCCCTGTTAGCTACATTCTAATGTTGGTGCAGAGCTGGGCCAAGAGCTGCCCCAGATGCAGCCCTGCCCCACACCCCAGGGCTAAGAAGGAGGCCCTGAGGGTAAAGAGAGACTAGGTGTGGACCCTCCTGCTTTCCTGAGCATGTGGGGGTGGGGTTCACCAAGGCACCCTGGAATCCATGCAGGAGCTTTTGCAGGCCTGTCCTTTCTCCAGGGAAGGATCTGAAGCTGCCGCATCTGATCCTAGCTGAGCTGAGGAGACTGTCCCTCCTCCCGGAAGGTCCAGAGTCACCGTGGAACCTGCAAATTGCTCCTTCTCTGAAGGTGTGAAGTCGCCTCCTTGCCAGAGCCATTAATAAAGGTGATCTTCAGAAGTCTAATTGTTCTCCCTCCATTAAGTCGGTGGTGACCCTCCTTTAAACCGCTGTGCCTTCTCGCCTTTCCCTTCATTAATTTGGACATCTCCCTGGAAGGCATAGAGCAGGCGCCTGTCAGAGCAGCCCAAGGTGGGGGGTGGGGTAGGGGGCATCAGAGCCTGCAGAAAATAACCAGCCAACCCCCTTGGATACTCCCCAGGGCTGTGGGACTACCTTCATAAAATGGGTCCCCAAGGAGAGAAACAGGCACCCCTGTTACCTTTGGGCAGACAGCCTACCTTCTGAGTGCCCAGAAACCACATTGGCTCCATGTTCCTCCTATGGGGGTTCCCCAGCCCCCATTGTCCATGCTTTTGCCTCCTTCCCTCTCAGATACGTTCAACCACAAAGGTCTGCAGATATTGTTTTTTGAATTCTTAAAGAGACCATACTCTCGTTTTATTATAGCTACAGTTTCCTTCGTTGTCATTGCTCGTATTACTGTCTTCCTGTGCTTGGTTTATTAATTAGACCTAACCATGGGTCCGTAAGGGGAAATGTAACTTATGCGTGTGAGTGTGTGCATGTGTGTCTCAGTCTGTCTGCAGTCTCAGGAGTCCTGAACAGCAAAATTCAAAACAGCTGGGAGGGGCTTTTCTGCCAAAGCTACAAGTGTCAAACTTTGCTGCCCCAAAGTAAAGGAGGCCAGAACATACCCAAGGCAGAGGGCACCTATCCTCCCAAGCCCTGCAACATCCATGTGTGAGGGACAGCTACTCAGCACAGTTCCCTCAAATCCTGCAGAGATGGAGTGATCTACCACCATTACAGAACAGTGATCCCACGGGGCTCCCCTGGGCCAGGAAGCATCTTTTGATGCAGGGAAAGAAGGACCAGCCAATGTACACAGGATGAGATGCTCTTCTTTCCACCAGGCAGGCATCATAAGGGTCCTTAAGTGAGAAAGGGACAGAAATCCAGTGCAAGAACCTCTCACTAGGCCTATGGTGGGCAGAAGTGTCACACTGGAGAGTCTGGCAGCTTCTTGCAGGTATGGGCAGCAGATATCCTGTTCTAGGAACAGGACCTAGGACCTGAACATGGCCCACAGAGAAGACCACTGGAGGCAAAGCAGAGATTCCATCATCACAGGGGCCAATGACTTCCCTGCTGACCCAAAGCAGGAAGAACAATGAAAGTAGCAAAAGTGGGAGCTGTGAATGGTCCCATCTGGTAAGGGTCTACCATCTTCTCCGTCTCTCTGGAGAAATGTTCCCGGGGGAGCAGTGGAACTTCCCCCTTTTCTTGCCTTACTTCTGCCACAGCTGCTTACTGACGGGAAGTGGGTACTTGTCAATCAGCTCACGGATGGCAGGTGGACCATGTACTTGGTCCCAATCTTGCATCTGTCCCTGTTTCTCATCTCCCCAGGCAGTCAGCAACTTCGAGGAGGTGGGTCACTCCCTAAGCCTGGTAATGTCTTTGTTGTTTGGGATCCAGAGTGCCCCAGCCTGGTGCTCTAGAAACCAAATGGCTCAGCCTGAAGTGGACATGCAGTCTGTGGTGGGCCCAGCCACTCTGTCTCATCGTACAGAGCTGTCTTAGAAGCGGTGACACTGCACAGCTGCCTTTTAAACTTCAGGCTTTCCTCTCTGGCAATCGGATCACATGAGCATTGGTTCCTTTGTGGATCCATCCAGTTCTGTAGCAGGAGCCTGTGCTCCCTCGGCCATACATTAGATGGAAGGGTTGCCAGGCTGAACATTAATCTGTGCTGGACGTGGCTACTGAGGAGTGACAGGCCAGTGATGGAGCAGGCAAGGTCCCCACGGCACAGTCTGAGCTGTAAAAACCACAGTGCCAGAGGAATGAAAGGCAAGGTTGTCCTCTAGCCTACACATACACACACACACATGCGTGCGTGCACACAAGTATTTCCTGGAAGCATATTTTTTTCTTTGCCTCACAAATTTCTATAATTCCACATAGCTGATCTCTGCTGAATTAGCTTTCTGACAGCATTCAGAAATGCCACTGCTTCATACTCAAGTAGAAACTTGGATGTGCTGGCCATGTGAGCCCTACCTCCCCTCCCACGAGGTGAATAATGAGGCCCTGTTTACCAAGAGCTGATTTCATTTATTGGACCAAAAACCTGACTTGTTTCTGTAAGTTCTCCATGTAGAATGAACCTAGTTTTCAAAATACTGCCATAGTCATTAGTGAAAAGTTTCCCTACCCATCAGGCTTCCGCTTCCAAGATCCATCCTGCTACATCCAGTCTCTGGACTGAGAACATACTTTTTATTACATTGTGTGTGTGTGTGTGTGTGTGTGTGTGTGTGTGTGTGTGTGTGTGCGTGCGCGCGCGTGTGCAAGCCAGGAAGACATTTGAAGGAGTCAGTTTTCTGCTTCCACCATGTAGATGGAGCTCAGGTCTCGGAAGCACATGGCTTTTCTCACTGAATCATCTCTCTGGCCTTGAAAAGATTCTTTTAAAGGTTCCACTGAACTCTCAGGAAGAAAAAAAAATTAGTGGGGCCAAAATTAAATGGGGCGAACAAAGAGCTACTGCCTATTGGGTGCTTCCCGGTGAAAAACAACTTTGTTCACACCAGTTCACCTTCAACAAACCACAGGTGAGGGCACAGCAGCAGGGACCTCAGAGAGCAGAACTGATGTCTTCCAGCCACGACCAAACCACTGCACCCAGGAACCCCAGCAACCATGGCCGCCTGAACTAGGTGGAGCCACTTAAGGGCAGTCCACCTCCAACTGAGGCGCTGCGGACAGCTGATGGCTTTCGGAGTAGGGAAAGACTTTATCAAGGGTATGGTCACTGGTAGACTGACCACATTCCAGTGGATAGTCCCTGCCCCATGAAGATATGGGCAGCACAAACTGAACTCAATGGGTTGTTAAATCATCAACAACAAAGTCATGAAGTTGGTAGCGAGTAAGAGAGGATTTGGGAGACACGGGGGGGGGGGTGAGTTGAAGGTAAATATGATCAAAATATATGTTTGCATGTATGAAATTCTCAGAAAATTGATTAAAATATTGTATTTTTAAAAGAGATGGAGAGATGAGTTTTTGGTTAAGAGCACTTGCTGCTCTTCCAGAAGACTGGGACTCAGTTTCCAGTATCTGCAGAATGGCTCACCATCCTCTGCAACTCCAGTCCCAGGAAACCTAACACCTTCTGGCCTCTGCAGGCACCAGGTACGCATGTGATACAGAGACAAACATGCAGGTGAAACATCCATACACAGAATAAAACAGTAATACTTTCTTTTCAAAGGAAAAGCAGTTGAAACTAAAGAGATACTAAATGGTCCTGGGGCAGGCGACGTGGCTCAGGTGAAGAGCATTTGCTGCTCTTGCAGAGGACAGGAGTTCAGTTCCCAGCACACACATTAGGTGGCTCACAAGCACCTGTAATTCCAGCTCCCAACGATCCCATATCTGGTCTCAGTAGGCACCTGAATACACGTGGTTCGCAATTGGGTGTGCACACGCGCACGTGAGCACACACACACAAATGCACACACATTCCAAATAAAAATCTGTGAAAGGGGGAGAGGCTGGAGAGATGGTTCAGTGGATAATAATGTCCGTTGCTCTTGTATAGGATTTCCAGCACCCACATGGTGGCTCACACACATCTGCAAACCCTATTCTAGGGGGCTCCAAAACAGGTATGCATGTGGGACACATCCATACACACAGGCAAATATTCATACATATAAAGTGAATAAAAAATTTTAAGATAGAAAAGGAGACTCACACGCCACCAATTACTGGAGTTGGACACGGAAAGAACTGTGGGAAGGCAAATTGTGAAGAGGGGAAATCCAAGATTTGCTAAAGCCAGTAAGACTGGGATCTCACTGAAGCAGATAGCAGTGTTCACTGACAGGCAGGGAAACAAACTAAAAGTAAGCCACCTTCAGACTCAGTGAGCAACTCTGAGAAGCAGCCAGGAAAGACAAAAAGACAGGTCACCTACAGTCATAGAACCATAAGAGATCTCCTGACATGTCGGCAGAAAACAGAAAATAGTATCACAGCTCTTAAAAGACAGAGGGGAAGTGATCAACTTTAGTTATTTATTTGCATAGTCATTTGCATATTCAACATTTACAAATATAAGTATATATTATGCTTTGAGACAGAGTCTTATTATGTAGCCTTGGCCAGCCCGTGACCATGCAGACCAGGCTTAGTCTTGAACTAATAGAGACCCACCAGTCTCTGCCTCTACCTCCCGAGTGCTAGAGTTGAAAACACATGCACCATGCTCAAGTTCGGACTTTACACACACATAAAGCCTCCCTTGGGTTTGATCCCCAGCACCGTATAAACCAGACATGGTGGTACAAACCTTCAACTCCAGCACTTGGGAGGAGAATCAGAAGTCCCAGATCATCCTTGGCTATATAGCAAGTCTGAGACCAATCTGGATGCAAACAACCTTGTTAAAAGAAAGAACGGAAGGAAGGAAGGAAGCAAGCAAGCAAGCAAGCAAGCAAGCAAGCAAGCAAGCAAAACGAGTATGTTTCCAGGAACAATGAGGACGTCATTGTGCACTGAGGTGAACTCACCAATGTCTACACTCTCTCAACCCCCTGAGTCCCCAGGTCTGACAGGGTCTTTCCAACACAAATCCACAGTCCTGAGGTTTTGTATAAACCTAGACATCAGAATCTACTGAGGCAGAGCCAGGAGTCCAGCTCCAGGGTTTCCTGCTCACAGACAGTGAACAGGAGCCCCTCATTCCTGAGAGCCTGCCTTCCAGCACATGGAGGCCACCAGGACAGAAACCAGCCTCCCTGGACCCCCCTTCACACTGTAGCTGAGGAGCTCAGGAGGCGTCCACTCTAGATTTTCTATCCAGGAGCCATTGAGATCACGGGGCTGTGGCACTGCAGGGCACCCTGTTCCGGGAGGAACAAGGATAACACTCAGTGTCTATACACCTCTTGCTAAGCTGGGGTGCTGCATGTGTGTACATTCTTTCCAAG